CATCCAGGGACGAAAATCCACGAAAACACTCCACAGTCGAAATTATCCACGAAATCAAAATAATTCACGAAAATTTCATCAGTCTGAGTCAGGATCAGAGGGTCATTCAGGATCGATGGATGAACCCGGCTAGATTTGGGGATGATCGTCATCAGCCTGCATCGCCCTGAAGCGTGCCCTGGCTCTGGCGCCTTGGTTGAATTCATACAACAGGGCTCCACAGTTAAGTTGCGACAGTGGTATCCATTCAGGATCGACGTATCCCTTCCACTTGACAAGATACTCTCTCGTCCTCCTGGATGTGCGGGTACGTTTAATCCGTCGGAGATCCAGGATTCGTTCCACTTCGTACTCATCATCCTGGTTGTTCGCCTCCCAACTATCTTCAGGCAACAATCATCCAGGTCGTCATTTTCATCCAGGGTGATTTCATCGATAGGTCTCTTCGGGAATAATGCCCTGGGCTTCAGACGACTTACGTGCGCCCATGGGTTCACGCGATATCCAGTTCCGTCGATCTTCAACTTCACCCTGTAATCGTCATGTAGTTCGTCAATTCTGAAAGGGCCATGTCACAGGTGTGTCAACTTGCGACTCAGCCCTGGTTGCACTTTGGATATATACAGCCACACTGCGTCGCCCCTCTCGAATCCAGACTTTAAACGCTCCGAAAGCTCTCTCCACTTCTGGGTCTGAGCTTCTGATCTCAGGCGCTTCGCCTTCTGCTGCAAGTCCTTGGTACAATCTCGTGCGTAACTATAGTCCCGCTGGAACTTTCTCCTCCATTCGTACGCGGTCCGTTCTGGAAGACTGGACGGCTTAGGCCCTAACATTGCGGATACGGTGCCCTGAGCATCCCAGCCATGGACTAGGTAGAATGGTGTATCCAGGCGGGTTGCGTCGAACGATGTGTTCAGGGCGAACATTAGCCGCTCGGCATGATCATCCCAGTCTGACTGGTCTGCTTCGGCCACATACGCTCGCACGCTCCGGATAACAGTCTGAACAGAACGTTCTTGTTGTCCATTCGCCTGGGGTCGATAACTCAGGGTGGATCTCTGACGACTGCCCAGGAGTTCTCTGAATCGAGTGAAAACCTCGCTCATGAATCTTGGATCTTGATCGTGGCGGATCATTTCTGAAGCGCCAAACATCCTGAACACCCGTTCCTCATACGCCTCGGCTACATCCTGGGCTGTCGTGGAAGACATCGGTTTACACATTACGAATCATGAGAACATAGCTTGGAATAAGAGCACGAAAGTGTTTCCCCGCTCAGATTTTTGCATGTGTCTCACGAAATCCATCGAGACTACCTCAAATGGTCGCCTTGGTTCGATGTTTCCCGGGGATGGACCAGGGTTAGATGGATGTCCCTTGCCACTTGCACAATCCACGCATTCTTTTACGTGTCGTTCCACATCGGCATACATCCCAGGCCAATAGAACTCGGAGCGCAATTTTTCGTGCGTCCGTTTGATGCCCTGGTGTCCACCCTGAAAATCCTCGTGGGCATAATGTAAAATGTCCTCTCTCAGGGTGGTGGGTACTACCAGTCGTAATTCATCCTGGACATCTCGGGGGTCTGCCTCGGGTGGACTGAGCTAACCGATACAGCACGCCACGGGCGCGAACAGGTCCCGATCGTCCGCAACTGATGCAACGTGAAACGATCGACTTCTCCATTTAGAAGATCTCTTAAGTCACACAGGTATTCATCTTGTTCCGGGTGCACCTTAATTCGCAGTCACCGTTCTCGTTGGTAATCCAAAGGATCGAGAGGCTCTGATGACACCTGTT